AGTGAGGTAAGAAAAAAATAGAAAGATTGGAAAGGAAGAAGTAAAAGTGTCTTTATTTTTAGATGACATGATAACTTATGTAGAACATCATAATAAGTCTATAGAAAGAAAAAAAAACTAGAGCAAATAAGTGAATTTAGCAATTTCACAGGATCAAAGCTCAATATACAAAAATTAGTTGCATTTATATATTTTAGCAACAAGCAATCAACAAGGAACTGGAATAAAAATATCATTTGCATAAAATTGAATTGAAGTCATAAAATACGAGGGAATAGATTTTACATAAGATGTGCTACATCTTTACACTGAGTATGACAAAATATGGAACGGAGAAACTAAGGGAGACCTAATAAATAGAGACATATGCCATGTTAATACACAGGAAAAGCTAATATTATTAAGATGTTCGTTCAACTAAATTGGCCTATTGATTCATCATAATCCCAAACAAAATCAAACCAACATTTTTCTTTTAAAGAAATTGACAAGCTGATTCTAAAATTTATATGGAAATGCAAACGACCTAAAATAGTCAAAATATTTTGAAAAAGAATAATAAAGTTGGAAGACATTCTATTTGATTCCAACACTTATTATAATGCTACAGTAATCAAAGCCATGTGTTATTTTTATAGGATGGACAGAGAGGTCAGTGGTACACATTAGAAAATATCAAAATAAATCCACACAAATAGAGTCAACTTATTTTCAACAATGATAACAATGTGATCTAATGGGGAAGGGAAATCTTTTTAATAAACAATGTTGAGACACCTAGATATCCACATCTAACTCATACTATACACCAAAAACTATTCAAGATGTGTACACAGCTAAACATATGAGGTAAAACTATGAGGCTCTTAGAAGAAAACGTAAGAGAACATCTTCTTGACCTTACAGTAGGCAAAGTTTTTTAAAGGACATTAAAATGCACTACCTCTAAAGGAGAAAAAGTTTGATAAGTTGGAGTTCAGTAAAGTGAAAAACATCTGCTCTTCAAAAGACACTCTTCAGAAAACTCAAAGGCAAGCCACGAGCTTGGTAAAAATATTTGCAGAACAGTTTTGAATAGGCCCTTTCCAAAGGCAGATATATAAAATACCAATAAATACATGAAAAAAAGAAAAAAACCTCAGTATTAATAATAATTGGATAAATGTATATTTAAACCACAAAGAGATATTACCTTACACCCTCTTAGATGGTTAAAATTTCGAAGTCCAACAATGTTGGAGCGAAAAAAAAGATGACTATGTTGAATTATTTCTCAGGCAGTACTTAGATCTCCCTTTCCTTGGGGTCAGCCACTGCAGAATCATTTTGTTCTTTTGGGGGGGTTGTTTCCATGATTTCCCACAGTCGTTGAAGTCTTGCATTGCTGTTTTATCTTTGAAGAAGTAGTCTCCTTTTCCAGTCCTCACTGACTGTTTTCAGGATAGAAAGAGCTTTACCAGTCAGCCCTGCTATTAAAAAGGTGTCTCAGGTATTTTTTATGGATTCACTCATCCCACTCCTTTTTTGTTAACTTTTTGTGGGGAAGTCAGGGATCATGTCCCTTCTCTCAATCTCGCATAGCCAGGCTGGGTGCTGAAAGTTTTCATGTGTTTTTCCCAGGGCACTACCCTGTAGGGTTAAAAATTGCATGCCTTCTCCCAATAGCACAGAGTCAAGCTGGCTGCTGATTCCCATGTGCCATCTGAACAGGCTTGTACGCCATCTGTTGGAATGCATACACACCATCTGCAGGGTTAACATGCACCATCGTGGAGAGGTGTGTGCTCTGCTGGGGCATGTGCCCGTCATTTGGGGGTCTGCAAGTGAGTGACCCACAGGGTTTATGGGTAGACGTTTTGGAAGAGTCCTGAAGCCAGCAAGTAGAACCTGCAGCTGGTTTTGACGATGTGTGTGGTGGCTGCTGTGAGCCCTCACCCCTTTTCCCTGCTACTAGCATCCCCAGACTATTCAGCCATCTCTATCTTCTCAATAATCTGGGTGAGACAAACCACGAGTGGGCCTTTTGGTCAATGCCCTGTGAGGCTGAGGAAGCAGGTTCTCCCTCTGCTCTCACATTTCCCCATGGGAGAATTTGCAAGCAAAGCGGATCTCTCTTAGCGCTCAGTTGTGGTCCTTTGGGGGAGGGGTCATGGGTATAGCTGAACTGTTCCTACCTGCTCCCTGTCTATTCTTGGATTTGTTTCCTTGATTGGGGGCTGGAATGTCTCCACTGGACTCTTGTGTTCCCACAGAGGTATTTCCGTCCATAGATAATGTAAAAATCAATGTTTCCATAGATTTGTGAGCTGGAATCTCCTATTCAGGCATCTTGCTCTGAATCTCCTCTTTTTTTTTTTATTTTTATTTTTTTTTATTTTTTCCTTTTTCTCCCCAAAGCCCCCCGGTACACAGTTGTGTACTCTTCGTTGTGGGTTCCTCTAGTTGTGGCGTGTGGGACGCCGCCTCAGCGTGGTCTGACGAGCAGTGCCATGTCCGCGCCCAGGATTCAAACCGACGAAACACTGGGCCGCCTGCAGCGGAGCGTGCGAACTTAACCACTCGGCCACGGGGCCAGCCCCGAATCTCCTCTTTTATACTGTATATTCAAATAGATAGCTATGAAATTTTTCCACATGATTCAAAGGGGTTTGAACAAATTTATAACCAAAATATTACTCTCATTTTTTCACTGTTTTTAATAAGAGTATTGAAGGTTTAGGCCTCCTTTATGTAGAGATCAAATATATTTCTCAACCATAATTATCTGTGAGTGACCTCTAGTGTTATAATAGTTCCATTCTTGAAGTACCACTCTTGAAGTATCATTTGAAGTCTTGATTTTCCTGTATGAAAATATGTAATTATATTACTAATATTAAAGCCATCAATCTTTTACCAAGGATATATTTCAAAATAATCACGTCTGCTTTCCTGTATAACTAGTAGCACTTATTTTGAGAGGGTAATACAGTACTTATTGTTATATTCATCTCCTTTTGTCCAAAAGTAAAACAACTTGTTTTACCCATGATTGAATTCACTTTCAAGAAAAATTGTCAAACAAGACTATAAGTAAGAAATTTTCGTTCTAGTGTAGACAATTTTAATAAAGTAAGAAAGAATGCATTATGGTATTATCTTATTAAACTCACTCATTCTTTTCTTACCTATTACTTGTGCAGAGGATCCTAGAAGGGCAATATCTATTTCAATTGTCTTATAGAACTGAAAATGGAAAGAATACGGAATAAAGCATCCGTAAGTGTTTATGAGGTTCATAATGTTACATCTTTCCTATTCATTATGTTGAATGTTATATGTTAAGTAGAAGACAAATTATATGTGTTATAGACAAATTATGAGTATAATCAAATTCCATAAATTATATGTTGATCCATTAAACAAGAGTATAAAATCTTTAAAGAGTTTCTAAAAGTTTATTTAATCCATTCAAGCATTTGGACATTACCAATGTTTTCTTATATTACTGACAGGATAAATAGTTGCAATTGTATTTTTTATGATTTTTGTGGATAGGAGCCTGTAATTAATCTGGGTGTGTTTGGCTGGAAAAATCCTAAACTGTCTCCCATGATCTCTATTCTCTGGAGTTACGTGCCTGATTAAGTTAGCCTCTAAGATAAGAGTTAATTGTCCAGCTATAATTAAGATCCCGTATCAGTTGACTTAAAGTAATCTAAGGGAGATGATCCTGGATTGGCTTGAGTTAATCAATGGCAGGCTTTATAAAAGGACTTAGGTCGTCCCTGAGGTCAGAGAGATTCTCCTGCTGGTCTTGGAAAAGCAAGGAACCATATGGTATTCATATGAATATTAATTGCAGGTAAATGAATTATTTCAACAACCACGTGAGTTGGAAGATGACCTTGAGCCTCACATAAAACTGCAGCCCCAGCAAACACCTGGATTGCTACCTTTTGATACCTTGAGCAGAATACCCAGTTAGCCATGCTGGAAATCATGACCCATATAAACTGTGAAATAATAAATGGTTACTATTTAGAGTGCCCAAATTTGTGGTAATTTGTTATGAAGCAAAGAAAAAAATACAATGAGGATTTTGTAACAGAGTTTTAACAGAACTGTTCATATTCATATTATGATATAAAGATTCCTTTCTCATAAAAACACCAGGATCTCCATAATTATATATAACAATATAATATGTATACAACAATATGTATGGAGTTGTGACATGAGATTTATGAAAAATATACACTACATAAAAACAAGACTTCATTAAAACAATTATCATGTTTTCAGGCAATTGTCATATATTACCCATATATGGATTAGAAAATTTAAGGATGGGAAATCTAGACTTTAAAGATTCGTATTCAGATTTCAGTCATCCATTTATAAGGTTAATGTCTATAGACGAAGGAAATAAATGGGAGCTCCTCAATCCTCTGATATTCGGAGACAGTGTTCGGTACACATAAAGCTCCATATGCCTAACCCTCAATCTAAGACTTCTGTTTTCTCCATCCAGTTAAGATAAATTTATTTTTATAATGATCTAAAATACATACCTAAAACTTTGTATACAAGAAGATTGGCTATTTTTAAAAAATTGAACAGTCCAAGGTATGATATTAGACCCAGTAGAATTATTCTTTTGCCAAAGTTAAGTCTATGACATGTTAAAATACTAAGTTTAATCAGTACAATCAAGCAATGTGTATTAGGATGGGAAAATGTCTCTCATTTTTTAACTGATATTATTTAAAATATATATAAATTGTGCATTTTGTCTTACAATAAATATTTCCTTATAACCGTATGTTGAATTTATTATGAAAAATGAAATATTTCAAAAAAAGAATGCAGTTTTTCATATTCTGAATCCTATGTAGTTGCCATAAATCTATAACAATGGGTAAATATTAGATACTGAATTGTATTGGTTGAATACATCAATTTAAACATAAAGCGAAGAATATAGGGGAAAAAGCAAAGCATAAAGATTATTGGGCAACTTACTCTCCAGGCTTGCCCTTCCCTAACACCTTTGTGAAAGCTCTGGCCACTTCCTTGTTGCGAAGGCTGTAGATGAGGGGATTCAGCATGGGTGTAAGAATGGTGTAGAAAGCTGATACCATCTTGTCCTGGGTCGGGGAACGATCTGAAGTGGGTCGCATGTATATGAACATGGCTGCTCCATAGTACATTCCCACCACCATGAGGTGGGAGGAACAGGTAGTGAAAGCTTTGCGGCGACCATCTCCAGTTCCCATGCGAATGACAGCACGAATAACATGAACATAAGAAGCAATGATGACTGCTACAGGGAAGAGAAGCATAATAACACAGCAGATAAATATCATCCTTTGAAACAGTAATGTGTTAGTGCATGAGAGAGTGAGCAGGGCAGGGACATCACAGAAAAAATGAGGAATTTCCCGGGCACCACAATATGAGAAGGATAATACAACTGCCACTTCAATTATACCATCAAGGGAGCCAAGAATCCAGGAAGAGGCTGCCATGAGACCACAGATTTTCTGGCTCATGAGAACTGAGTATCGCAATGGGTAGCAGATGGCAACATAACGGTCATAGGCCATTGCAGCCAACAGGAAACATTCAGCTCCAAGCAGGGACACAGAGAAAAACATCTGGGTTCCACAACTGGCCAGAGAGATGTACTTCTTGCCAGACAAGTAGCTGAAAGCCATCTTGGGTACAGTGGTGCAGATGAGCATGAGGTCCATGAGGGACAGTTGGCTGAGGAGGAAGTACATGGGAGTGTGGAGCTGAGTGTCCAGGTAGATGAGGAGAACCATGGCAGTGTTTCCCATGAAGGCCACTGTGAAGATGCTCAAGACTAGAGAAAAGAGAAAGATGTGGGTGGGACTATGATTGAAGATTCCTAGCAGGATGAAGCCTGAGTTGATGGTTTGATTCTCCCATGCCATGATGAATATTTCACTATATACAATGCAACATGTGAGAAAATTTTAATGCAAAATGTTTTGTTAACAGACATAATAAGCTACATAGTAGAAACATGAGAGTTTGTCAAGTCACATAATCAAGGAAGGCAACAAGTCAATTCCTGTGGTGTAGATCATCCCTTTATAATTACAGTATGATCATGAAAGACTCATGAATTTCTGAGACATCAATATCATTTTCATTATTTTTCCATGGAACTCAGCATATCACACCACTATGCTAATAAAAATTCTGTCTATCGAAGTGTAGAGGGAAGCACACATTTGTGGAAACGAGACAGAGTTAATCAAATGTCAGGTCAACAGAAGACATTGAAAAATCAATTATGAGAAGTCTGTTAAGCAGGCCTTATTCTAATAATGGTGAATTGAAGTGGAAGTAGCTCCTCATTGATATGCTCTTCCCCCACTCCATCTCTAAAAATGATGTGTGTCCAAAAGATATAGGCTGTTTTACTCAAGAAGAAAGATAGATGAGAGAGCAAGAGCATAGCTCAAATGCCTGCGACAGATTACTTTAGCTGCACGATCTTGGGCAATTATTAATTTCTCCATGTCTTATTTTCCACTCTTAAAATTTGAATATTTATAATATATATATTATAGAGTGTTATTAAAACTAAGTGAGATCATATTTATTAAGTATGAACATTATCTGGGATACAGTGTCTATCATATAAGTATTGTTTAAATACATAAATACTATGAGGGAAGAAAGACTACTCCTACTTCATCTCCAGACTATTATTGTTTATATAAAATTAATCTTTCTCATTTTCTTAGCAAGAACTTTTAAGGAGATTTCTTTGGCTACACGATAGCATATCGATAATTCTCTATTTTCACATCTATTTATTTTTCTTTCTTTATTCCTTCTTCAAGGAACAAGACATTCTTCTTTCTTTCTCCATTAATACCACCTGAACAGTTTTCTTGCACATTAGTGTCCTCCTAAACTCTATCTGTAATAGTCACCAATTTTGTGTATACTGCAGTTCAATTATAAGCCAGTATTCACTACATCTTAAATGTCTAATTAGTTATAAACACACTTAGAAACATTGCTTACATTTGCAATGCTTACAAGAAATTCAACACACACTGTATGAATAATTATAACCAATTCTACTTAACTTTTTTCAGGTATTTTTATTTTTTCACTCTTCTCACACACAATTGCTACTTAAATCTTTCTAAAACAGTCTTCTAACCTTTTGCGAACCTGTCATTATATGCACCGCAGAAATACCTTCAAACATTTCTATTGAAAATTGCCCATGATTTTTCATACTACCTAAATGAAATTTAATGCCCAACAGAAAATTAACACGTCACTTGACACAGCATAATTTCAGTCCTTCTAGCAAGTGATACGTATTTTCTATTTCAAGTTCACTCATGATGTTATACTTGTGTGGAATTCTCTCTCTCCCTATGTTTTAAAATATAAAGATTAATACTTATGAAAAACAACATAGATGAAATTATCTCCTGACCATTTACCACTTTTTTCCCTTGTACAAAGCAATGCTTTAATCAATTGTGCTGCATCCTGGAATATTATCCAAAACAACAGAATCATTAGTTCTTTCAGTTTGGACCTAAATTGCATAATTAATTGTTCTATAAACTAGGAGGTTAGGAACCATGAAAGCTGTTTGGCCTGAGGAATTCCATGGACCAGAAACTATTTTGACCTGTACTTAACTTTCTGCTTGTTTATCTTTCTGCCTAGAAACAGCTGCATGGTGCTGTGGAGCTTCAGTCTTACTCACGTAGCTGGGATCATCTGGGCAAGTGAAATGTTGCTGCCATCCTGCAGTCCATTCTATGTCCAAACCTCCAAATCAAATTTCTTTGGAGTATCTTTTAAAAGAGAAATTGTTTAAGGTGATGGTGTAATTATTTAGCACTATGCTGCTGTTGTCCCCATTATCAACTAATGGCAGGATCTGCCTCTATCATTAGGACTCATTGGCCATCCCACGTTTTGCTCATGGATGCTTTTCATGATCCCTGTGTTAACAACAAACTCCAACATATTTTAAGTTCCTGTCTCTTCACCTTATGTCCATATCTGTAAAATCATTCTTCATTTTAGCCCGTAATAGAACCCTCTGGAAGAACAGCAGTGTGGGATAGTAGAACTAATCAAGACTAGCTGGTTTCCATTAATGTCAGTTTGTAAAATCTTGATCAATTTGAGTTGAGAAACAGTGTTAAGTTGTCCATTCCCAGTAAAGAAATGAAATATTTGCAGTGCAGTCGATGGAGAGGTTTAGCCCATATATACACATACGATTGAGCTTAGTTCTCCTCTGAGGAGGTTTCTCATGCCTGAAGTTCTTTCCTATTCCAAAACCCTTTACCTTTGTGTATCATCTCTCTCTTTCATGTTCCACCACACACACGTGTGTATCTTTCTTTAGGACTCCTTCTTTATTCTGTAGATAACAAGTTCTACATCTATTGAACTTACAGAAGAAGAGTGGCCTCCTATCTCTTTTCTGTATAAAAAGCAAATATTACGGACCTTCCAATGACAAACCCGAGTTTGCAATCTTGCTCTACCACCAATTCCTATGTCACCAGGTGTGTTAACTAATGTTTCTGAGATTATTTCTTAATTCCCTGCTCCTCACAAGGTTGATACAAAGACAGAATGAGTTAATTCTTAAAAATTCCTCACCAAATACGTTTCACAGCATGAATTTATCAGATGAGCCTTACCACCACCATCATACAGATTCCTGTCACACCTTTATTTTTCTATAATCTTCCAATAGCCTCCACTGTTATTCACCTGCCATTATTTTTGAAAATGTTCTATTTTCCTTTACAATATCATCAATTGCTGTTTGACAAGCTATATGCTTAGTCTATATTCTCTTAATCAAAAAAGAGAGGTTTGCACGCAGACAGAGCTCATAAGATCCCCATAAGCGGCTGGAGCACAAACGCGCAGATTAGATCCAGTGGAGAGCATTGCAGTAATTCATAATTTAGCATATGTTACATTGTTCCAAATCATGCCTTATGTTTACTTAGCATCTTCACATGTATTATTTCATTCAGTCTTCAGAAAAACTGTGACACATGTAAGAAACATAGTGATTTTATAGAAAAAAAGATAAGTTGCAGATCAACCTGAAAAATTACCTATTTAAAGGATTTTAAAATATCAAAAAGTCTAATATACATAACTTTTGAATAAAATGTGGTTTCATTTGATTGAACGCCTGAATGCCTAAGATATTTTGGAATATATTTTCTACCTCAGTCTTACCTTCTAGATGTTCTGAGCAAGATATGATATTACTCACAGAGCAACCGGAAACCTTTAAATTTCCAAAGAAAATCTACACAACACAATTTTATGAAGTCATGTGTGATTTAATTTTGCAATCGCTCCAAGGAATTCAGTCCCTTGTCTTCAATTATAGCACTGTGTGTTATCATCCAATTTTTCCACTAGGGCCTCACATAGAACTAGTTTCCAACTTGGAAATATAAATTTTATTGATTTTAAGATCAAATAGAAAGTTCTGCTACCTTGGTTATTGATAGAAACTTTCTCTTATTTTCTCCTCTCTCTCCTGGCTCATTCATATAGTAATAACACCGTTTTCGCTCTCATTTTTTTCTGTCTCATATTTTCAAAATCTCCCTATTAACTCCATAAAATTAAGGGAAAAATTGCATTGACTTTCTTATTTTACACAAAATAAATAAATTCCTCATCGTGTTTGCTCTTAGTTACCTGTAAACAGAACTCTATTAAACTTCAACAATACTTTCAAACTGATAAATCAAGTGGTCTTATTCTGGGCATCATTAAACATGAGATTCCTTATCAGAGATTTCAGCGTTATTACAAATTATTCTTTCTTTGAAAGCTTGCCATTTGCTGTTACTCTTTTCTGATTCTTCTATTAGTTGTCTTATTATTATCCTCACATACACTGGGTTAATTTTTCTCTCCATGGAATAACCTGATTCCCCATGATTTTTAGACGTTTTCCTCTCTTTCAGATTTTCTCACACTTATTTATTTATTTATTCATTTATTTCTTTACATTTACAGTTGGCTTGATCTGTATGTTTTCAGTGAAAATTTTTTTTCTGAGTTACAGATGTTACCAAAAGCCTACCATTTATATAACTTTGATATTTCTTTCTTGCCTCATACTGACAATGCCAAATTCCAAACTTTCATCTGCCAGTGAATCTACTGCTTTAAAATAACACATTTCAGCTTGTAAGTTACCCTCCATGTTGTTAACGGTGTTCCTCACTGGGTGTTATGGAGCAGCAAGAACCTAGAAAAGGAATGTCTCCATTTTCAAGATCACTTAATAATTGCATGCAAGACTTCTTGGACTATTTTATTTACTTACTAGCTATGTAAACAGAAAAAGAAGTTTCTTTCATCATGTTCTCAAAATGATTTGATATTGCTTGTATTTTTTAAACTTTTGTGAACCTATTATGTGAGAAATGATTTCTCACTCTTACATTAATGTGCATATTCTTTACTGACTTGTCTGGTTGTCTCATGTATTTATTGGCTATTTGTGTTTCCTTTTCAATGAATTGCATTTAAAATAAATCATCATTAATTTATCTTTTACAAAAGCAAAAACATTGGCATATAATTTCATATTTTTTAATTGTAGACAACCAATTTTTGTAGAATCATGTCTTGTACTGAACCCTCTTTCTACACTGATTCATAATGCCATCTAATATCATTAACCAAATTCTCATGTTAAAAATTCTGATTCAGGGTTCTTGAAATGGATTCATTTTTTTATTAGACTCTTGCTTGGTTCCTGTTTTTAGGGCTAAAAGCAAGTGTTTGTGCCACTGACAATTTCATCCCTTGCTATGATTCTTTATTTTTAAAGATTTATTAAGTATTCTTTCTACTTTATTTTCCATATTAGTCTTATTATCAGTTTTTTAATTTCTTCAAAAACTGTTGTGATTTATACTATTAT